GGGGGGAGGAAAGGGGGGGGAGATCGTCATCTAATTGATTTGATCAAGGAAGATCGAGCTGCTGCAGTAGCCTGATGTAATGGATATGTCATCGCTTCAGAAAACGGTTTTGTGGTGTCACTTTGTTTTTGTGTAGCCTACATTGGACAGCTCGTCCGCACAAGTTGACTTTAAAATTGCTGTTAAGATTAATCACATTTGCACGACAGACCACACATTGTGAAAAGACCTTCCGCCTCCATTCGTTCTCCTTTTTATCTTTTATCTGCCGCCTGTTGTGTTGAACCCGACGGAGACGTCAGTGTTGTAACGAATATACACCTTTAAGCTCATCTGAACTGAACTAAGCTTTTCACTGACTAATTTGGTTTATATTCCCTTGTCACCATTGATCATGTCAATTAGATGGCGGGATTTTGCCACAGAATGAAAAAGCTCGGTTGGAAGAGCCATATCAAAAGAGGTTCAGGTAATTTGAATGAAAGGTTCATGGATGGATTTGGAAAATCGGACGTGTGGGATGCTTTATACTATTGTTCCGTACAAGCCTCTTTATTGGGAGTCAACGTTTTAAAGGTCAATGTCTCCATGATTTTGCCACAACTTCTCAACCACAATATGATCACAACCAAGTAATCAACCTTCCGCAATTCCATCACTGTCAACGTCCCTACTGGCACCAAGGGGCAAGGGAGGCTTCATTGGCAGAAGGTTTGAGCCATGAGTCATGCTGTGTGCTAGTCTACAGGAAGCAGTGAACGGCCAGAGATCACTTGTAACCGCAATGCGTTCTTTCCAGTTATTCAGAATTAAATTTTGCGCTCGGGTATTCGACAGTTTCGATCGCAGTTTTCTAGCACCGTTTTCGTAAGCTTTTGTGGTTTCTAGGGGTTTCTTGCAACTACCAAGCGCTTTATCGGGTAAACTACATAGAGATTTCCACCTCCGAACCACTTCCAGATTCTTGGAGGGGACGATTTTTTCGAAACGTTGACCCAATAAAGGAAAACAGAAATTTGTACAGCAGTATAAAGAACTGCTTAACATGTCCAGATTTCGAACATGGGAGCTATTAAGGTCGTCGTCGTGGTGATGGACTCCATATTCTTATAGGGGCTACAAGTGACTCCCATAGGGGTCCGGGAACTTCTCCCTGAAGACGGCGTCGCGCACGCCGCACCCGCCGCGTATCGCAGGATTGCGATGGCACATTGGAGCGCGCAATTTGTGAGGTAGGGAGCCCTTTAATTATTTGAATTGGCT